TTGATTCGTGCCCGGGGCCCGCGATTTCCGCGGCTCTGATTAGCGGCGGACGGGACCCGCCTGGGTCGTACGAATTTAGCCCGCCCGGAAAACTGTCGTTTGAATTCACGGTCGCCACTCCCCCGCGGGGTCGCCGGCATCGCGAAACGCGTTTTTTTTTTTTAGATTCCGGTATCGGTTCTACAACGATGTTTACGTTTTTTCCGCAGACGATTTTTCCACCGCGGCGATTTCGCTCGGATTTTCGAGTATAGCGCTTTTCCGAAGGGAAATCTGACCGAGGCGGTACTATGAGGAGGTCGGTTTTTGATTTTCCCCGGGGTTTTCGGGTTAAACGCGAAACACCGGGAAAATGTACGAAATGCGTATTATTTTCGAATTGTAAATACCACGGCCTTTTTAAAACGTGTACATACCAGAACTTCGCGCCGAATCGTTTTTAATTAGCGAAAATTAATAAATTCCGCTCTTTATATTTATATATACAGCTACCTTCCCGAATTCTCACGCTACAACAGCGCGCCGCCCGTCGCGCGAGAAGTGTATCCGTGTATCTTTTTTTTTAATTTGGCCGTAGGTCCGCGGTTAATCATTTTCCGGCGATCGGTGTTGTCCTGCCCTGTTCTCTGTCCCCCCCTATAACCCCCTCTCGGTGGGCACTCGGCTCGGCACGGCACGTATCGCGCCAAAACCGAAAGAACCCGCGATTAGTTTTCGCGATTTTCCGTCTCGTTTTTGCCGTTTCGGCCGCAGGCTGCCGGCCACCCGGTGGACGCGACGGTCGCCAGATATTTTCACCGACGCCCCGGAAAACCGTTCCGTACCGCGCGATTGTTTTTCTCCCCTCCCCGTATTTTTACACGCTCAATGCGTTTTCACGTGCGCGACAATACGCGCTTCACGTTACCGCGGTACAAACAGACGTGTGTACACGGACAGAACGAAAATCCGTATGTAAGTACTCGCCCGCGCGCGGACGCGTGCGTGCATAATTCGACAGGACGATTTATACCTCCCCTATACCCTCCCTCACACCCTCCACAAACCGCCGTCGGATCCCGGCTATTCCCGTACGATATCGCGTACGAACCGGCGTTTATAACATTCCACGCATATAATATTATAATATACAATATAATATGTATGTACACGCGCGCGTTTGATTTAAAGTCTTTCCGGTCATTATAAAATCTTTTGATGATATCCCTCTCTCTCTCTCTCTCTCTTCTTTATGCATATATTATTATTATCATCATTATTTTTATTATTATTATTATTATTATTATTACGGTTGCTGTGTTTACGGGCGTAGCTTTGCACACGGTATACACCCGGCGCGCATTACTATTTCCGAAAGTTTCGACTCGGTACGGTTTTTATGTTTACCGCCGCGAATAAACATCGACGTTTAATCTCCAAACAGTGCGCCGTCAACAACCCACACGTATTATTTGTTTTTATTTCATCTCGGGTCGGAAAGCGGATATTTTTCTACACAGACAGAGAGAAAAAGAGAGAGAGAGAGAGAAAACACACACAGTCCGCAGGGTGTGCATTAATAATCCGGTAGTGCAAAAGTTTGTAGCGTTGTAGGTCGTATTATATATACATAAATGTCTACTTTTTTTTTTTGCTTTTTCTGGTTACTGAAAACTAAACGTTTAATAATTACGCGGGCGGGTTTACGCCGCGTCCACAGAAGGGTGGTGCTTTTCCGTGTATTATATGAATCTCGACTTTTGCGCCGCGGGCTAAACAAATAAAAAAAAAAAATCGAAAATCAACGCTGCCGGACCGTTTGTTTAACGCTCGGGTTGTCTGCGAGTTGCATTTTATTAGAAAGAAACCGTCGGTTCAGTAACAAAAAAAAAAAAAAAAAAAAAAACAAATGAAATGTACGCCCGACTTCCCGTTTCGTCGACGTCGCGCGGTCCCTTACTACACAACGGCTTTGATAATACGCGGGCCGCTATACAGATAGAGTATAGCGATATCGTTGTATTGGTCGTGCGAAATCGTGAACTCGAGGAAAAAATTTAAAAAAAAAAAAAAAAAAACAGAACCATCCGTATCCCCGGGATTTCGAACAGATTCCGACGGGCGTACGCGAGAGCCCCCCCCCCTCCTTGAGCTGTCGTGTACAAATATTTCGACTCCAATCGAGCACCGCGGGAAACTGCAGTTGAATCCCGTAACATTTCTTGTAGACGCGCGAGTTGTAATTATAATACATATATATGTTTTTTTTCTACATCACATCGCTGTACTTTTGTACGTATATTATTTAATAACGCACGTGTAACGCGTGTCGTCCGCGAACCGTCTCGCGAACCGTGTTATTATACCGCGTTTTTTTTTATTCCCGACTCACCTCCTATACCGCCCCGGTCTCTCGGTGTTTTCACACGGTCCGACGAACAACAATAATAATAATAATTGTTGTCTATCGTACAATACGGCGCGAAACGGTAACGATTTCGCGTGTCGATGTAACAGCCCGCGTCGTCGTCGGGCCGCAAACACGCACGGGCACAGGGAGAAAGAGAGAGTGAGAGAGAGATAGACGAAACGAGCAGATGTACTGATGTTGTAGTTGCGCGGAGAGAGGTTTTTTTTTTTATTTTTTTCAAGGGGTTTCACGGGGGCGGCGAAACAAAAGACGGACGACCGACACCGCGAAACGTACGCGCCTGTGACGCGTTAATATTATGGCGGTAAAAGTATGCACAACCCGTAATTTTTTTGGACGCCCCGTGACGTCCTCGCAGTGTTATCACGTGCGTTCGATTTCGGTGCCGGTTCTTCGGCCGACAATGCAATCGCGACAAGCTCTCCCTCTCCTTCGTCGCGTTCCACATTTTTGTCTCGCGCGTACGCAGTTTCCGCTCGCTGCGAAAATGCGAATGCTATTAGAAACGAATCCGATCGCGACTGCGGATATACGGACGCGCGTGCTGCCGAAAGTGAATGCCATTCGACACGATCCGCAGACCCGTACACGGGTTTTTCGAAACAGACAAACCGTCGGCCGAAATATTGTTCACTAGCTGTACTGTATCGTTTTCGAACACGTGCCGCGATCGCGGTTGTTTTTATTTTTTTTTTTTACCGAACTATATTACGTCTCGCGGCGTTTTTCGGCGTGCGTTCTTTTTATTATTATTTTTATTTTTTTCGGCAGCGGGACGCGGGATTTGTGTGTTTTTTTTTCGACGGGACCGCTGCGCGTGTCTCTATAATATTCAAACGTATTTCACGCGCAGTGTCATTCGGGATTTTTTAGATTCTCCGCCGGAGTTACGTACGTTTTTTCATCTACTAACCCGCAGCGCACGTAATTAAACTGTCGTTTCGATATTCCGACGCGGAGGTGTGTTTCACGTCGGCTTGTCGTTTCAAATAAAGAAAAAAACAAAAAGAAAAAAAAAAACCCGCGGTGGCGCGATGCGCGTTCATAATATCATGCCGAACCGACGACGACGGTCGACGGCTGTACGTACGAGAAAATTAAAAGAAGAGCGAGGAGAGAAAAAAAAAAAAAAAAAAAACTATTTTTCGTCGTTCGAAAACGCTCGTCCGAACACGTGTCCCGTTTTCGTTTTTTCGATTGTTTTTAGCGGCGGCGCGCGTGTGAAATGTCACGGTGTTTTTGACACGCGAATGAACCGACGTGCGCAAACGCACCGCGATCCGCGTTCGACGGCAGATGGATTGATTTCGCGACTAAATGCGCGAATTCTGCCGGACCTGCGAACGTATTTACGATTTGTCGTAGTCCCCAGCCGACGCGTTCGAGTCGATTGTTCGGCAAACCGAACGTCCGCTCGTGTTCCGCAACGTTCGGGCGCGCGTATTTACGGACTTTCGCCACGTCGGTTCGGCCGTCGAACCCGATCCGTTCCGGCCGATCGTTTTTCTCGCGGAAAAGTTTTCCCCGTACAAACGTCGTTTGTCTGTGCCGAGACTCGAATTTCCGTGCCCGTATGGGGTTCACGGATTGAAAAAAAAAAAAAAAAAGAAAAAAAAAACACGCGCAATTTTTTCGTTAGCTTCGCGTCGAAAACGAGAACCCGCGAATTAGCAGTGTGCGCGGTAGAACGTCGTTAACGATAATTGACCCGGGACCATTATGCCGTTGTCGGCGGCCGCGGGCACGGGCGACGGGCGGCGGGAGAACCGAACGCGTCCGCCGGACGGGCGGAGCGGCGGCGCGGCGCGCGGGAGATCATCGGCGAACGGTTTTAATTAAAAATTGTTTAATATAAACGTCATGCGGACGTATTTGTTTGTTACCGTCGCATACCTGCCTCGTGCATAATACACGCGCCTCCCTACACACGCGCCGTTGTGCCCCCGGTCGGGCGCACCGCAACCGTAAGTGCACGGTGCGTACAATTTTTTTTTTTTTTTTTTTTTCATTAAATTTATCGACGATATTTTACCTCGTAAACACGCGCGCGCCGACGGGGCGTGAGGTGGCGGTGGTGGGGGCGGTGGTTCGCGGTGGGTAAACGAATACAAATAACAACGCGGATACGAATGAATGCGCGTTACGATCGCGAAATTGTGCGCGTGTTCGCGGAACTGCGGCGCGCATATTTCCGGCCATCGCGAATTCCGTAAATAATATCATATCGACGGGCGTGTTTACGTGTACGAAATTTCGCAATTACCGTCCGTTTCGCCGGTTTAATACGCGGTAAATATATTTGTGTATACTGTGAAAAAAAAAAAAAAAACAACAATTTTTTGTTTTTTATTCCGCTCGTTTGAACGCGGTTTAATGAAATTCCGCCGGATCGTATTGTTACGCGCCCGCGCGCGCGTATCGGCCGAATAATTCGCGGGATTCCTCCTCCGCGCGGGTATACACGTAAAAAACGCGCGTTTCGTTTCGTTTTGTTTTGTTTTGTTTTTTTGTTTTTTTTTTTTTTTTTTTTTTTTTTTTTTTTTTTTTTACGTTTCGCTATTTAAACCGGGAATCGGCCGGCGATTAAAATTTACGTTCGGATTTCGGACGGCGACGACGTTTCCATGAAATTTCCCGCCACGTTATCGTACGCTCGTCTCTTCTTCTTTTTTTGTTTCTTTTCTATTGGATGGGCCTTAAATGTCATGGCCGAAAAGTAAACATACCTCCAATCTACACTCTTTAATGCCTGCAGAGCTTCCATATGTGACGAATACCCGTCACGTCCAGTCGTTTCGATCACCTCTCCTGTGTGAATGTCTTCCGCTCCCTCCGCGTCCGTTGATTCTTCCTCGGTCGGTCGTGATCATGGGGTCATGTCTTATTAACGGTGCCCCGTAAGTTTTCCGGTTCTTGATCTAACGGCGGATGGCAGCTAGTGTCCTCCTCTTATGGCAAACTATTTGGCGGATTTCCGTATTACTGTTATTCCTTTGAGTCCTACTAATATACGAAGTAGTAACCTTCTCCGCCGGTCTCGAGGTGTGATATTATAACACGAAATTATTATTATTATTGTGTACAACCGCGCGTCGGATACTCGACATTTCGACCGGCGGTAATAAAATTAATAATAATTGTGCGTGTAAATACGCGGGAAGAGTAGACGCGGTGTGAGAATATTATTATATCGTACCGCGGCGGCGGCGGAGAGAAAAACACTTCGCCGGGACTTTTTTCCGTTATTAAATTAACGAGCGAAGTTAACAAGACGTGATAGATCGTTATGTTAAACGTTGAATATAAAAAAAAAAAATCTAACGAGTTGAAAGCTTATGATGATTTTTTTTTTTTTTTTATCATCTTTTATGGTAACTCGTTAATGTCTTTGGATTTATTCCAGGTGTAATTTTTTACGGCGACCACGACGAATCGCGGTAAACACGGCGGTCCGTGTATTATAATAATATTATCCTTGGAATAAAAAAAAAAAATAATAATAATAATAAATGTACGTATATACGACCACGGCGTCGTGTCGTCGTCGTCGCCGTCGTGTACACTCGCGGCCGCGCGCACGTAACACATCGGATTGTAATGATATTAATATATTATAATATTATTTATTAAACACTTCGATATTCATCGGCCGATTGTTCGCGTATTGGAACGCTGCGGCAATAATAATATAACAACGATAATATTGTGATCCGCGGCGAGGACGGTCGTCACCCTGTATACAATACGTACGGATAGCAGTGTATGCCGTACGGCGGCGGTGAGACGTCGTAACCGGAGACGTCGAGAAAAAAAAAACTAACGATAATAATAAAAAAATTACATTTCGAACGGACGTGAACGCGGCGTCACGCGTTCGACTTCGCGTTGAAATTGAAAGAAAAATAACAGACGATTGATAGACGCGCGGGGATCGGTTCACCGCGTACTTTCTGCGGCGAGCACGTATAAACATTTATAAATTATAATGGGCGGTTGCGAAAGAAACATCACGTTTTGATCGCGGTCACGTGGAACCGCGGTGTTATCCGAAAAAGAAAAAAAGAAAAGCTCGTAACGACGACAGGACCGCGGCGAGCAGAACTTCTTCACGGGGTGGGGGTAGGGCGGGTCGCGAAAACAATTCCGTATCAATTGCCGGTAAAATCGAAAACACGAATAAGTGCGACGATTTATCGGCCACGCGTTATACTTCAAGAGGCGCGCGGAAGTAATAAACTCCTTCTCGATTCGATAAAACCAACGGCTGTCAACGGCAGGTTTAACTCCCGAAAGACCTCGGCCCCTTGGGCGCGGGTCTGAACAGCGAATTTATTGAAGTGCGGCTGCGGGCCGCGACGATGTGTCGCGCGACGGCGGGACATGATCCGGACGGCATCCGATTCGGGGGAAAAAGACTGCGCCGGGAGGATCGCCGGCAGGTAGAAAAACGTGACGAGAAGACGCTATTGACGATCGGCGGCTCGGTTATGAAATCGAACGCGACGCGTGGGCCGTGATTACTATCATTGGGGTGCGTCGGGGGAACGGACCGCGCGTAGGAAAACGTCGGCGCGCGGACGCGTGTCGTGCGAAACGCATCACGACGAATCGCCGTGCGAATGCGTGCGCGGCCCGCGTTTACTATTGTGCCGACGCGGAAAACGGACGACACGCGCCGATACGCGGACCCGCGGTCACCGGAGGGTCGCAGACGAGCGGGGAACGGAGTGGGTTCCGTGCGGACGCGTGCGACGGCGGCGGTCCGGGGACGCGCGGAGTGCCGGTCCTGCCGAACGGAAAGAGGATTTTCGACAACCGTCCGCGACCGGCCGTCGCCGCGATTCCGGGTGCAGAACGGTACGCGGGCGTGCTCCGGGTTACAGGTTGTACGGCACAACGGTATTAACGTGCGTCCTCCGTGCGAGTCTCCCGGGCGGCCCCGAGGACGGCGTTCGTGTCACGGTCGTCGAGACGACTGGGGTTGTGCGTCGCGCGACCGCTCGTCGGCTCTCGGTTCGCGCGGGGAGCGAAGTTTTTTGTTATTTTCCGCCGAGGATAATAACGGACGGCGCACAAAAGAGTTTCGCGGGTGGACTCGCGTGACGCCGTATACCCTTAATTAGCCGAGTACTCCGGCCCCGGACTTTGCCGCGGTGTAACGAGCCCGACGGTTTTTTTTTTTCGCCGCCGCCGCGCTATTTGTTAATTAATTCGTCTTACCGAACCGGCGCCGCCGTCCCTGCCGCCGTTCCGCTAAACGAACGTATACACAAAACCGTCCGGCGGGGTGACGCGGACGGGAGCGTGCGGGATCGGGTGGGAGCGACAGGGTGGCGGGCGGGCGGACGGGAACGGCGAAATAAAAATAAAACTCTTACACCGACCGACCGACCGACCGTCCGACCGTCCGTCCGTTCCCCCGGGAACCGAACCGTGGATAAACCTGGCAATTAAATAAAATAAATAAAACCGGCGAGTCTCGCTAGACCCCGCGGCCGTGGGCGTGCGCGCGTCTCGCGTCTGTGCCGCGGGTGTCTATAAATATGACGCGACTCCGGAAAAAAAAAAATACACGAGGCAGGTACACGTGACTCCGAAAAATCTAATAATAATATTATTATTGTGGATCGCGCGCTACGGCCGTTACGCGATGCGGCAGCTGTTTCGCTCGCCGCGATCATATTATTATCCCCGTGACTCACTGTGTATCACACACCTCAGGTCTCACGCCGGCGGTGAAAATTGACGGGCAGATATTTCGCTTTTCGCCGCGATTTTACCGCGGGCCGCGTGCACACGATTGGTTGGTCGGCGAACGTTCCGCGGGGAGCGGTCGCGCGCATAGCCGTTCTCTTATCAATAAGAACGTAAAGAAAGACGAAAGAACGTTTCGGCGATTTTCGCGGAGTCATTCTCCGATCGCGTGTTCGGACGACCGTTCAGGGCGGTTGGTTCGCCCCACACACATGAAATACAGTCGCGTGCGTACGCATTTTCGCGTTTGATGCCGCGTACGGTTTGTAACGTTTAAAACGCGATCGAAAACGGACGAATTCGGATCGTTTTTATTGTACCCCGACGACGCCGCCTCGCGTCCTCGCACGCCGCCGCCGCCGCCGCTGCCGTCGTGGTTTCCGACCCCGAAACGCCGACGACCAAAAACACCGGAAAAGTATTATTTTATTCAAACGAAAGACCAATTGGTGCGTATAAAAGTATTTATACATGCGCGCCGAGTATAAGGGACGCGTTGTCGAGTGTCGACGGCCCGCGAAATAACGCCGCCGTCGTCTTGTTTACCCGGCGCACGCTTCGATGTTTATTCTTCGACCGTGTTATTATTGTTTTTTTTTTTTTTTTCGAGTGCGCCCGTGGCATTTTCGCCGCCGCGTATCTTTATAACAACACAAACATTATCGGAGACGCCGTACGAAATAATAACAACGACCGCGCGGCACCGACGCGGAACAGGTGTCTGCGCGCGAATCGACCTAACCGCCGACCTCTTGCCCGTACATTGCATTGCAATGCGGACGCACACAACGGTTTCGACGTGCGTGTACGCGCGACGGGAACGGAAACATGTGCGAATAGGTAATCGAACTTCAGCGAACGACGTTTGTGCGGAAAACGGTCCGATTGCGATAATAATTTAACGGCGACGTCCTAGCGCGCGAAATTTCGGTGAGAATGGACCGCGGCGTTGCGCGAGCGGAATACGCGAATAAAAAAAAAAAAAAACAAACAAATAATAATAACGCGCGAACGGCGAACAAACATACGAATCGCAAGCGCGCGTGTGTCGTATCGGCCGCATTCCACCGTGCGGACAGTATTTTTCTGTACGATTGCGCCTCGTATTGTAAAACCTGATGCGGACAAAAAAAAAAAAAAATATACTCTATACTTTTAGGCGACATCGATGTCGTAGTCGCGATAAAGCGCGCGTTCGTTCCCATGTAATATGCCGAGTAAAATTAAAAAAAAAAAAATAAATGTATCGTTTTTTTTTTCGCCGCCTTTGATATATTATTTAGTTTGCTAAACGTACGAGACGGCATTCTCGAAGAAAAAAATAAACCGCATAGCCAGTGACTGTATATGGAACAGCGGACTGCGAATCGGAATCCGAATCGGTCGGACGGCATTCGACAGGCGAAATTGGGAGGAGGGGGTGTAGCGTTTTTCCACGAAAAAAGGCGACCCGACGCGGATAAGACGACAAAACGGTGAGGGAGGGTGGTAGGAGAGGAGCAATGGGATCGAACACCTTGTACATCAGTGGCGTTCTCAGGGGGGGGGGGCGATACGGGCGATGCGTCACCCGCCGAAGAAAAGGTTCAGAACACGGACAATTTTTGTTTTTTATTTTCGACGTGTTACGCCGAGTTACACGAAAAATTCGAAATATCGAATGTGAAACGCGCTCGTTGATATCGAATTGCGTAGCACCGTATTATATTAGCGTTACGCGATTTTTTCCCGAGGTTTTTTTTTTTTTTATAAACGTTCGCGCGCGCTCGACGAAAATCGCAGCTAGTACACTATATACACGGTGAAATACGAAATTATACGGACGATTATCGCCCCTTGTTATTACGGCCGTAACGTACCTAGGCTACATTTTACAACGCAGTAATAATAAATAACGTCAACGAAACACGTGCGCGGCGCGCGCCGAACGCGGACCGTGTTTAGCGGGAAAACGTGGAAAAAAAAAAAAAAACACAAGTAATAATAGAAAATTTCGACCGGGGCGGCGTTCGTCGGACACGAAAACAACCGACTACACCCGCTGTACCGTGCGTGCCTATTATTATTTTCGGCGTTACGTATTCGCGACGGAAAACGGCTGCCGGAAACGAGGAGCAAGCCCGGGCGGCTCGCGTGCGTGTAAATACAGGGTGCCGTGCGCCCGACGTACGTGGTCGACGGCCGGCCCGTGTGGGTTGTGATTTACGCGCCGGGCCCGAGCGCGGGACGGACCTGTTTAAAAACGCATAAAAACCCGCGGCGATCCGTCCGCGCCGGCCGGGAGGCGCTACCCGTCTCCTCCGCCATCCCGTTTACCCGACGGCTTGAAAACGCAACCGAAAAAAAAAAATAAAAAAAAATCTATTACGGCGAGCACAACGGATCGAAACGCGCGTTACAGTTGCGTCCCGTCAACCGGGTTACGAGGGCCGGCTGCGAACCGACTGGAAATCGGCCAATTTTCTTCAGTCTGGTCGGCCGGCGCGGCGTACGAAAGACGGTTTCGCTATTTATTCGCGATTCCCGTTCGCCCGCGGCCCCCCTCCCGTCGAACACTCCCGGGCGCGCGGCCGGAACTCCGCGACGGGATAGACTTTGGACTTGTCGTTCCGCGTTCGATTCGAGGCCGCCGCTGTTGATGTCTGCGCCCCGAGGAGGCCGCGGCCGATTATTCGAATTTTTTATTTAAAGGCCAGCGGGTTTTCTTTTTTCTCCCGGTACCCGCCGACCGACCGTTCGCTCGAACGTGCGTATTGATTGGCCGCCGCCGATACCCGCCGCGGGCGCGTCCGCCGGATTCCGGCGCCACGCGCGTATACACGTACACAGCAATTAGAAGACTCGTTAGAACGACGTAGAAGACTAAACAAGACCGCGTTCGAAGATAGCGTGTGCTGAAAAAAAAAAAAAAAAGGAAAAAGACCTCTCCCGATTCGAATCTAACGAAAACCGACGGACAGTCTTTTTTTCCCTGTTGGACATTTTTTTTTAATTTTACTTCGCCGAACGCTGTAACGCGGGCATAATCGAAAAAAAAAAAAATCCCGTCGACCTACGACTGCCGCAGTGCCCGTGCGCTCTTAAAACGATTTACGCGCCGCGTCTCTGAAACGAATTCGTGAAGCCCTGTCCGTTATTGTTTGACGCGGACGCGTTTTTATTTATTTTTGTTTTTTTTCTTCTTTTGCCCCGTGTTGTCTCCCGTCAAAAAGACAAGCGCGACATAAATGCGCCGGCGACGGCGAACGTTGACGACAAACCGAAGGGAATTTTTCACGCCGTACCCGTCCGCGTATGGCGTGGGAGTGCGGTTTTCTTTATATTTTATTTCATTCGTGTTTTCGTTCGGTCGTACACCCGGTGGCCGGTACGTCCGCGCGTCGCGCGTTCTACGGCATTATTTCAATATCGTAAAAATATCCGAACGGCAGCGGGAGCAGCAGCAGCGGCCGCCGCCGCCGCCCACAACGAACGGACGGCGGCAGTATTATAAGACTGCGGGAGAGAAACGAGATTTGTGTAATATATAACGCGCAATAAAAAAAAAAAAAAATATATATCGTACGCATACATATATATGGATATTTATGTACATGAATAATTGGACAATTACAACAACAATGGACGCGCGATGCTCGTTTTATCGTACACTCATATTATAAATATATTTTAACATACACACGCGCGTGTCCCGTCATAAATTTCCGAAAAGAATCCACTGTAATTTGTGTATAAACGCTTTTTGAAATACATATATATATATATATATATAAATATATTATACGTTATCATGTTGGGAAAAAAAAAAAAAAATCGGAAATTTGCATATTATACAACGGGGTGCAGACACCGGTGTGTTCGCGCGGGCGCGCGCGGTGTACACAATCAGAAGCAGCAGCATCGGTACACACAATAATAAAGAATTCAACAATTAAACGTCGGCGGGAAAAAAAAAAATAGTAAAAAATTATCATATACGCGACGACGAACCGTCGACAAAAGGATTTATACGGACGCGTCGTTTCGTCGCGTTTCCTGCTTGTGTGGCGCGTCCGAAAACGTAACAACAACAACAACAATAATAATAATAATAATAATAATAATGATAATTTTGACAGTATACCGGTTTCGTTCGGTTTTCAACTGTATTCGTTTGGACCGTCCGCAAAACCGAAAACAATATTTTCTGACCGTATCCGCGGGTAGACCTCCGTTAACCTAACCTGTCCGAACGTCGCCGTAGCCGCCGACACGTTTTCCGATCAAAAATCGTGTCCAGGTTGTATGCCTACCTATTCCGGCACCGCGTATTATTCAGTTCTCGCGTGTTCGCCGCTCCGTCGAGGCGTTTTGTTTTTTCAAAAATAACATTATATCTTCGTCCGCGCACACGTTTCTCGCGGTATAATATGCGGCCGACTGGGTATACACGTGAAAGTCTTACGAGTAAATATATAAGACGAAATTGACGAGCGGAAAAAAATACGTATGTAACAATATGTGAAAAAAAAAATAAAAAAAAATATGTCGTCCGTGCGAATCGAAATGCGCGCGAGCGTTCGGAAATCGTGCGGAAAAAAAATTCGTCCGAGACGCTGCCGTCGAACGTCACGACGACGAACGTTGCGAAAAATTCTTCGTTTCCGCCTGCGACGACGGCGACGACGTTTTACATAAAATTATGCGTTTTACACACACACACATCGAACTCCGTCTCACGCGACACGTACTCAGACGTACGACCGTGTGCGCGTTAGAAAAATCACTCGTGTATGTACTTACATGAAAATATACCGGGAGTCCAAAAGAACGAGCGAGAGAAAGAGATGAAAAAAATAAAATTCTACTCCGTGCGACGACACGGGCGTTCCCCCCTCTCCCCCCTGGGGGCGCGTGCAGTTCAGTAACCGCCGTCGCCGTTGTCGCTATAAGATTATATATAAAAAAAAAAAAACAGTAGAAATTCTCGTGATAATACGACGGGAGTCGTAAAAGTCCGCGACGCGATCGTGTTACGCGTAGTACGACTATAGGGGGTCAAAATAATAGGTTTCGGGGGGGGGTTCAGTTTAAAACCGCGGCCGGAACGATAATATCGACAAAAATCCAACAATCACGTGCGTCCTCCGATTACGAATCGTAACATGACATCGATGCCGTGTAATTGTTATTTTTTACCGTTCGGCGTATTAACAAAACGGCAAAATATTGTATAAAGGCCGTCGTAAAAAGAGGTCGTCCTTCGTTACCCGTCATGCTACCTTATCGCTACGCCACTGATATACAGGTTTCAGGTGTTCGCACTCGGGACGTTGAATTTTTCGGAATAGCTTCGGGTTCGAACCGACTACGCAAGGCTTTCCGTTTCGAAATGGTTGCATTTGATTAGGGTGTGTGGTACCACAGTCGATAACGAAAACGGCTAAAACGCAGTTCACCGATTACCGGCCGATTGGCGGTCACCGAAATAACAAACTCGGAAACAAATATTATTCAGTGGCAAGTCACAATAGGTAATTCACAATAGTAAACAAAATTTGGCACAAATCAGATTGATAAAAATGTCGTTTGTCATAAACCGGTATCTGTAACCGCATATGACCATTATGGTAACCGGTATAGACTTTTCGTTGGCGGTATACCGTGTATAATAATAGGGATGTCCTATCCGTGTGTACATTACACGAGGCCCACGAGCAGTGCCCCGGACAGCTGCGTGTACGGTTTCGGTAATATTCAAACCGTCGTCGTTTTTTTTTTTTTTTTTCTAATCTCTTTCATCGTTTTGATAATAAATAAAAGTGCGTACACGAAACTGTAATACTGTATACATTGTTGATAATAATACACTCGCAGCGCGCGTAATAATAACACGTAACGATAGTATTATTATTATTATGTTGTTGTATTAATCGCCGACGGCGGCGCGGCGCGTTCTGGTGTGAACCTCTCGTCGGCGCACGTACGTACATTATTGTAACGGCGACAGTCGTATCGATTATTATTTTTCTTTTTTTTTTCTTGCTTTTTTCTTTCAATCGTTATTGTTATATTGTCGTTGCGGTATAATACGGATTATGTCGATTTGTCCGGGACGCGACCGAGACGACCGTCGTTGTTTCCGTAAGAAACTCTAACGTCATGAGAACGGACCTCGGCATACCTGTACATTGTCAGGTAACTGCGTACAGCTCTTCACCGCGTCCCGGAATCTACGTGGATACCGCGGCGGATAATCGTATGTAGACGGTATAAATGTAGACATTCAGTCGAATCTGTTTCCCGCAAACACGTCGTCGAAACGTACCGATGAAAACCGCGAATCGCAAAACCGCAGTCTCCTCGTCTGACTCCGGCGGCTTCGCGTCCGAGATCCGTTCGTACGTTACGGGCCCGCGAACGGGGGTTTTTTTTTTTTTTTTTTTTCTCAAACGTTTGTGTACCGTGTCCGCGTGGGTTTCGCGCAGAGATTTACGCGCACCCATGTACGTATATCGTTGTTATTTCGTATGCCGATCGATCCGACGACCGCGACCACGACACCAGGACGGGGACCGGCGCCGGCGTGACGATAATTAATATTTATAATATTCGCGCGGATCCTTTTGTGCGCGCGTGTGTAATGACGACGGCGCGACGGTGACGGCGATAATAATACGATGTTTCCCGTTTCGGTCGCGCGATTGTCAACGGCGCGGAGTACGTACGGCGGGGAGTCGTGGAGTGCGGGAGAGCGAGCGAGAGAGAGCGACGGGTAGGGGAGGGGGAGAAAAAAGGGGGAAAAATTGCCGCCGCGCCGAGCGGTGTCGACCGCGCGTTCGTCCGACGTGGCTGTCGTCACACGCGTTATATTATAATACGCGCGCAGTGTACACGTATATAACTCGCGCACACAATGGGCCCCATTCGACGCCCCTGCGAAATGGAAAAAAAAAACTCAACAATATACCACGACAATACCTGACGTCCCACGAACGCGCGCGTGGTAGAGTGGCGTATACATGCGCGCGTGTGTGTGCGTGCGTGCGTGCGTGCGTGCACTGCTGCTCGACGAGCTCGCGTACGCGTACACGGTAGTCGGTCGTAATGTTATAGAAAAAAAAAATAATAATAATAATAATAATAATAAAATACTGCAGCGCGCGTGATATTTACGGTCCGGAGGAGAGGAGAAACGTGCGCGCGGAAATCCGAATCCGCGGCGGCGAAACGGCAAAACCCACGCCCCCGCACGGGTTGTGTAGGGACCGTGTGTGCAGGGACGCCGAGTTTGGATTTCCCGCGGTAATTTCGTCCTGTCCGCGTCGGGCTCCGGTTTCACCGCCGTACACGCTGTCGGCGTTTTTCCGGTCGGCCGTTGACGTCAGCGATACGCGCGCGAATTCCGGTCCAATACGGTCCAAAATCCGAAAATCCGACATCGCACTTGAGTATTCGGTTCGCGCCGAATCGCGTCGCCCTTGTCGTTTTGATTTGATTTCGAGAAAATGTTTAAAAAAAAACCTTCCTGGTGGTTGTTCTCTGTGAATTTCAGATTTTTTAACGATATTGCATTTTTAGCGTTCACGCATAGAACATGATGCGTGTCGATCACGCATCGCGCATTTTGGCTATAGATACTGTAGTTGAAACAGTAAACAAATCCCCGGTTAATTATTTTTCGTCGACAGCGGCGTTACAAGAAACCTTTTCGCACGAATCAAATCGCTTGATATTTAGCCGCGGTTTAGCAAACTAATAACGACGATGCGAGTGCGTACTCGTGTTTGCGCGATTTCTGTAATCGCCCTGTCGTTCCCAGTCGGGTGGTCCATTACTCACTGTCGTCGGATCGGATTGCCCCCGGCCCGTAATCTCGTCTTCTGCCGGCCTCTTCGGTCGGTCGTCCGCGGTTCTCGTCGATAATCGCGCGGTTTCGCCGTCGACAATACGTTCGAATTCGGTTCCCCGACGACTTGCACCGTTCCCGGCGGAGATCTCAACGCCGCCGCGAAAACACTCGTCAACAAAACCAGCGAAACGATTTTTATTAACGATGTTTATCGCGGGACGCGATATAAACTGCGTGTAAATAATACCGGCTTGCACACAAAGTACGCGCGTACGTCATCGCCATGCGTTGAACTCGTGGCGCACGCCGTTTTAACAGATCCGCAGTGTCGACGTTTCGATATCGTTTCAATACGTTTTTTTAAAGGGCTACCCGGATATCTTTTGGTCACCGACGTTGTACCGACCTAACCGTCCGTGTTCACGGCCTTTTACCCGCCGCTGCTGCGGTATACGATCCGGATTTCCCTCTACCCCCCCCCCCCACCTCGACCGACGCCCGCGAAAACGTGTTTTCGATTTTTAGCGGCGCGGCGCCCTTGTAGAAACACCGTCGTTCCAATTACACGACGCTCGTCGGCCGACGGTCCGCACACATATCCATACGTCCTCGCGGCGCATACTCGGGACGGACGTATTATTGCAATTATTATTGTTGTTAGCATACCGCAGCAAGGGAGAACGGCGCGGGTGTGTGTGTGTGTGTGTGTGTGTGTGTGTGTGTGTGTGTGTGTGTACACGTTATAATTGTGTGCAGCCGCGTTCCAAGGGTTTCGGGCGGCGCGTACGGCGGCGTTCGTTGCGCAACGTCGACGGTCCGGTAGCGCGTACGCGGACACGTGTGTACGCGCGACATATGGCCGGCGCATGCGCGTTACGAGTGTTCATTATAACTATTTGTTGGTGTTTTTTTTTTTTTTCTTCTTCTTCCCGCGAACTGCACAGTAGACCTATATTATTTTACGCGCCGCCGGTTCGCCGCTGTGACGGCACGTTGCGGTTCCAGAGGAGGGGGGGATGGTGTAGCTATACGACGATTTCGCGGCGGGATGGTGAGGGCGGGCGGGCGGGATAGGGGAAGTGCGAAAAAATCCGACCCGGAATAACGCCGCGGGCGCTCCGGACGAGAGGCGACGTTCGCAGCGTTCGAACATTACCGTGACTGCGTAGGGCTGTGGGTCTGACGACGCACCGGACAGCCTTGAAAAGACGACATTGAAAACGCGCGCGAAACACGCATTTTGAGTCTCGCGAAAACGCGATACAAAACGGTTTTTAGATTTTAATTTTTCTATTCGTCCTCTCGATATATTTCTGATATTATTGTTTAGCGTGTTGTACACGTCGAATTGTATTTGTTTAATGAATACGATTTAAATTACGCAAATGTCGATCCGACTTGAATGCTGAATAACAGTCGATTTCTGCAACACTGCGGTATTTTATCGAATCCCTATCTTTGCCTACGACCCGTATACAGTTTGTGTAAAACGTACAATTGACGTGTATATGGTCCGTGCAAAACAAGAAATATGCGTGTAAAGACGTTAATTGGCGGGATTTGATTGAAAATACCGGGAAATTAACTAAATAGGAAAATATGATTTTGAAAAGTTCAAAAAATGATCTTAATTATAAAACCGTCAAAAATGTTAAATAAAAGTTTCATGAATTGATTTGGTGTCACATAATTACAATTATTTACTGAAAACGCTACGTTTCGCAATCGGTTAAAAAAAAAAAAAAAATACATATTTCTGACAATTTCACAGCCCCCTAATCGTGACGGTACCTATATTCGTAATGTTTGTCCGGACCGATTTCGCGACGGCGAAAACGATGCTCCGTCCGATATACGGAACTTGGAGTCGTCAGATTTCTAAGTGACAGAAAGAGAGAAATAAAGGGAAATAGATACGTTCCCGCGCGGTTCTTTCGGGGCCCCGAGACTTCGGTCCGTTCTTAGTCCCCGCGGTTCCAGTGTTTCAAAACGTCGGTTTCCACGCCCGAAGTTTACGTTACGATATTTTCACCGTCGCCGACGCGCGGAAAACCGTTCGCTCTCCGAATCGTTTTTTCATTGTTTCGCCATAGCCGTTGCCCCGGGACGGCGAGTTAATAAGTCCCCGAAGCCGCTGTTCATCGGCTCGTTTCCCGGCTCTCCCTCTGAGCCCTGTTCACATGACGTGGGATATTAACAAACGGCGTATTTTATTTTATTTTTTTCACACTTTTTGTGTTATTTATGAAACCGTCGTATTTAAATTTAAACAAGACACCGCGTTTAATATTTATCGCGCCCGCAGATCTAGCGGAAACTGGTACCGAGAGTGCAAATAACTCCGCGGGCTCGAGCTGCCTCCACCGTACCGCCGCCCCGTGCCGTCCCGCGTCCCCGCCCGTTCCTAGCGCGTCGCGTTTTTCCCGACGAATATGCCAAAGTCTAATAAAACATTCTCCTCTCATTTGCGTACATTAATTATGTATGGTATTATGCGCAAATAATAAAAAAAAAAAAAAAACACGCGCGCGCGATAATTGTTTTACCTATATATATACACACACACACACACACACACACACACAAACGCGGGCGCGCGTATGCATACAGCTATACACACAATATACTATCGGAAATGTCCGGAAATCGAAAAACGTTAATGTATACGCATAATAAATCGCGTCTTGTTTACAATATGGCGGACCTGTCCGTTTTCGTCTCGGAATGAAATAAAAAAAAAAAAAAAACAAAAAAAGACGTTTTTTTTTTTCTTTTCTTCATTTAAATTCGATTTATTATTATATTTACCATTGTATGCTGTTATAAGGTTCGACTGGGTGCGATTATCGCTTTACGAGTAGGACGGAAATAAATTATATATTGCTCGTCGATGCGTTTTATTGTTATTATTATTTTTTTTTTTTGTCCGATATCGAAATCCGTTCGTCGGACGTCGCGGCGGCCACTCTGTCGGAAAATATTCGAAAGCGAGATTCGGGGAGGGAGGGGGGGAGGTGTTGCGTATTTTGCGATGCGCAAGTGACCCGTAGCTAATAAAAACACGCGTATCTTAGAGGCGTTTATTAAATGCCGGGCGTCGATCGTCCGAGGGAAGTGCGAAATGCTCGGTGTAGCGAAGCCTCGGGGCCCCCGGTCCGATGGATTTCGAACGGGCGAAAAACCACGGGAAAACGGGCGGACAGGACGCCGCGAAACTGCATGGCTATACGCGACCGCGTGCAGATTGCGCAGTGGACGCGCGCCTTCTGTTCCGCGGACACATTCTCGTCTGATTTGTCTGCGATCCGTCCGGTCCTTCGCGCCGCCGGCCCGCGGCTAAACGAATAGATATCCGCGGGTTTCCGTACGGCGCGCGCCAGACACCGCACCGTTCCGGCCGTGCGCGGTCCGGATGCCGTTCGGCCGCCATTCCGGAGGGGACCGGGCCGGCGGACCGAGATTTCGGCGTCGGGCCGCGCGCAATCCTCGTAATTACGCGGGCGCGCTTCCGCCCACCCTACCACCGGAGGCATGCGTACACGGTGGGCCCGGTCGGGATTCCGGGACGCGGGTCGACGGTCCGGACATTGAAACGTCATGTCATTAGTAGTACCGTCGCGGTGTGTCACAATCGTTTTATTCGCGGGCGGCGGAACGAGAAAAATCGCCGGCGGAAATACGCGGAAAACCGCGCCGAGAGACCGGAGCGACAATAAACGGCAATAATGCGACCGCCGCGGTCGTCCGGCAACCGTAAATAATAATAATAATAACGATAATAACAGTGGCGTAGTAGCGGGGAACGGACCGGGCGGCGGTCGTAAAACGTTTAAAACGTTCGAATCGTAATAACAGCATTGGCTATTGTTATACTTACTCTCGAAAAGACGCGGACGTCGCCGTCGTGCCTCGCACCGCGTGTATTGGGACGTGCACACGTGCGGGGGAAAAAAAACAAATCGAAACGATGCGATAACTGCGGGATAAGTATCGGAATATAAATTCGTACACGCGTGCGTGTGCACATATTATTATTATTATTATATTGTATCGTTGTGTAGCGGGCGAGGGGGGGGGAAACACCGCGTGTATTCGCGACGCGGCCGTCCGGTGCCCCGGCGACGGCGACGACGCCGCGCGCTTTCTCTCCCGAGACCGACCCGTACGGTCACCGCGTTCCGTGTTGCCCGTCTCCCGCCGGCGGCGCCGCCTCGTTTCGTTCGAGACCCAACCTAACCCAACCGCTGGCGCGCCAACGCCGCCCCGATTTACCCGATCCGTTCGTCTCGATAACGTCGTCGGCGTCGCCGCGTTTTCGGTGCGCCGCGTCGACCGCGCAAAAGACGTGTAATCGCCGGGCGGACGCTTTTACTTTTCTCTCTCACTCTCTC